GAAGGACATTTTCTTTGTTGGTTACCAGGGGTGGGAAGGGAGGGTAGAGAATACGATTAGATAGACAGAGATAAGTTTTGATTCGGGTGAAGAGAAAGGCAATGTACCAAATGTGAGTGATCAATATAGTGGCATTGAGGAAGAGAAACACATAGAGAAGTACGTGGGAAGTACAGAAAACAAAGATGAACCCTTTTGCACATATAGTACGATGTGGTCAGTGAAGGCAAACACAGGTATACGGGTGGATAGATGGGTGGACAGGCTGAACTATTAGCTATGTCTATGAAGTGGGGAGTGCACCCAAAGACATGTATAGGGTTGGCAGACAGTGGTCCTATAACTTTATGTGTATGATCTGAATTCCCAGGTGTATAATGGAGCAAGGTTGTAGTCACTGCTTGGTCACAACCTGCTACCCAGAGGGACTGAGTAGTTGAACCTGTGGGCTCGGGACCATAGTCGCAGAGGACATCAAGCTCAATTGGCATAACAAACTACACAAAACATTGTTCCACCTCCTACTGTGGCAAGTAGTGACTGGGATCTTAAAAGCTTGCGAGGTGCCATCTAGATGCAACGATGGGTCTCTCCTTATCCAGACCCAAGAAGAATGAAGAAAACCAAAAATTCATGGGAACAATTAGTCCTAGCGACTGGTACACCATCTGATCTGCAGCCTATACAACTATGAGACCAGAAGAACTAGATGGTGCCAGGCTACTACTTTCAACCACTTGGAAGAGGATCTATGCAGGAGATCCTGGTTAAAAGGGAGAACAATGTAGAACAAAACTCAAAATCATTTGGGGGGGAAAAAAGGTGGGGGGACCAGGTTTGCTGGCCCGATGGAGCCTGGTGGAACCACCGAGACTATGGCCCCTAGCTGCCCTTCAGGTCTGGAATTGAACGCACGCCTGTAGCTTCCAGCCAAACAATGGACAGGCATATGAGTTGAACATTTACCTGGGGTAAGTACACTACTTGGAGAGAACAAGCATGGGAGAAAGAAGGGCTGCTTATGCACAGGGAGACAGCTCAGGGGGCAGAAATTCATGGAGCAATGGACAGAAGGAAGAAGAAACTGTTGGGAGGAAGTGGGAGGGGAGATGTTGCATTGTGGTAAATTGTGGTCAATGTCATGAGAGAAAGTGTATGTGAGCTGCTGTGTGGAAAGTGTATTTGCTCTGTAAATTTTCACCCAAATCACAATAAAAAGAAAAAGAACAACAACAACAATAGACTCAGTATCTCAAAATTAAAACCAAATGATGAAGTACACGTTGTTGTTGTTATGTGCTGTTGAGTCAGCCTTGACTCATGGCAACCCCTCCTTGGGTTTTCGAGACAGTATCACTGTGGAAGTAGATTGCCCCATCTTCCTTCCAAGGAGTGGCTGGTGGGTTTGAGCCGCCAGCCTTCTGGTTAGCAGTCAAGTGCCTTAGGCACTATGCTACCAGAGCTCCCAATGAAGTACATGTTGTTGTTGTTTGCCATTGAGTCGGCCCCGACTCATAGCAACCCCTCCTTGGGTTTCCGAGGCAGTATCACTACGGAAGTAGGATTGCCCAACCTTCCTTCCGAGGAGTGGCTGGTGGGTTTGAACCGCCAGCCGTCTGGTTAGCAGGCAAGTGTCTTAGCCACTATGCTACCAGAGCTCCCAATGAAGTACATAGGAGGCTTCAATTCTACCTGTAACATTTCATTTAACAGAAGAAATACCTGGAACCAATTTGGCAAATGTTAATATTTATTGTGTTTGAATAATGGGTATATGGAATGTCATTTCTGTCTTGTCTTTAGTTTTGAAACACTTCCTAATACTGAATAATTAAAGATGAAATATCTGGTGGGAGAGTTTTTTTTTTTGTAAAGAAAGAAAAGAAAAAAGAGAAGCTTCACTTGGAGGATTAATTCTTAGCCTGTTTCGATAGTCTTATGCTATGTCTTAACTCTCCTAAGAGGCAGAGCAGTGTGATACTAACACACTGGCTCTGGAGATAAACAGGAAATCTGAACATGTATCCTATTTCCCCAACTCCCTATACGGCCTTAGGGAAGTCAATATATTAGCTCCATTTTCCTTTTCTGAAAAACAGGATAAAAATACCTACTGCCATGCCTGTCCTGAGGTCATCTCAGGTCAGGGTTATCTTGAGCTATAATGATACAAGATAAAGCTGTTCTATGCATTTGCAAGCTTATAAAATATGAATCAGGCAGTGGAGAAAAGACAAAGAAATTCGAAGCTTTTCAGATGGTTCCTGGTAGTTTTATGATATGATTGCCTAAGACACTACAGAGAAGCATTTTCATTGCTCTTTGGTCAATAATTCTTTGTCTACTACATGATTTTTTTTTTTTTTTTGGTCTATTAATGCTTTGCTTTTCTAAATTTCCTTCAAGTCATTCTGAAAGACTTTTGTTATCTTGTTATAATTCTGATTCCTTATGTGTATGATCAGTAGTGTTCTCATTGTTCTACACGTGGTGTGTAGTCTTACTGCAGGCAGAGGAATCAGAAGTCTTGGGTTTTAGCTTTGGTTTTGCCATGGACCTTGCCTTCAAGGTCATGCACTTAAGCAGTGTTAGAACTGCTAGTAAATAAAAGCTCGCAAAATGCTTTGAGGTTGGGAGGAAAACGCCATACTGGTCTAAAGATGTATTGTTCTTTTATGATAGCATCATTATCATCACTACCACCAAATTTAGATGTGAGTATCTAGAGAGGAATAGTCACTTTTGAAGGAAAAATTGAATCTGCTTTTAGATAATTTTAACTTGGTGAATGTTCCCAAATGCTTAATTTCTAAATATCTATTCCTGCTTCTTTCCTCTTGTCCTCCTGCCAGGAAAGGCACCAATGCCCAGACCTGGCTACAAGCCTCAGGAGCCCAACGGCTGCAGCTCCTATTTCCTGGGTCTCAAGGTACCAGAAAGTGTATGTACAACTAACAACCCCTTCTTTGTTGATTGTTTTACTAAGACTAATCCGAGAATTATTACTGATGGAATCAAGTTGAACAACGTAATTAGTCATTTTAAATTGGATATGGGGCAAAGGAGACAATTTGCAAAAAAAGGTACCAATTTCCTTTTCTCGGAGGCAGCTGCCCCTCAGCTAAGCCCTTGTGTGGTGGACCAGAGGAGTCCCTGGGTGGTGCAATGTGCTTGGCTATTAACTGAATGGTTGGAGGTCAGAGTTCACCCAGAGTCTACCTTTCTGCCTCAGAAGAAAGGCCTGTGATCCACTTCTAAAGCGTCAGCCATAGCCAATCCATTGGAGCACAGTTCTACTCCGCCACATATGGGTTCACCATGGGTCGGAGCCGATGTGATGGCAACTGGTTTTAGCGGGCCAGATCTTGAGCTTTTCTCAGCAACATCAGAGGGGCCCTATAAACCTGACAAGCATGACTTGTTTCAATTAATGACTCTGTCTAGCAGCGTGCTGAGCAGCTAGTGAGAGATGATGGCTATATCATTAGGAATTTTGGGATTCAATTGTCCATACATGGTAGCTTCACATCAGCTATGTTTGGAGTATTTTTATCATAGAAATATGCAATACACACCCTCCCTCCCCCCACAACCACTTGCTAAGCATTTACCAACACACCACTGACCTTTTCTCAAACTGCAGGTCTCCCCTAAAAATGAAGCAAAAAACTGAAATCTTTCAAGGTTTCTTGGAAACCTTTTTTTCTTTTCTTTTTTTACCTCTTTCACTTTAGAAAAGAGGTTTTATGTAAAATGCAGGTAGAGGGACTTAACATCTAAATTATGACTTTAAATTGTGTCTTACTATGGCTTAACCCTACTTTTCTGCTGATTCAAAAGGTTTTGCTTTGTACTAATTTTCTAAGCAGCATGTTTATTCTTCTAACTAAGTTGTTCACTAATGTGGCTTCTTTGTGCAAACTGGAAAAAGGTCTCATTTCCTCAAGGCACTTTTCTTCTATTTATCAGAAATTTATCTTAACTGCATTCGTTTTGTTAGACAAAGAAACTTAACTGCCAATGGTTGGAGAGTTTCTCAATAAATATTTAAGTCTATGGTTTCTGATGGAAAGGCACTACCCCTTAGATACGGTATCTTGTGCGTTACACAACCTGTGCAGCTGTATGTGTGGCCTTGTCCACAACCCTCAGCCCATATGTAGACACTGAGGAAAGAAAATTCTTTCAAAAATATATATTAGAGAAATAACACGTTTTCAGCTAATGAATTTTACTTGGTATCAACTTGGTAGCTATGGAACTGTTATATATTTTATTTTGGGAGTGATGCTCTTTTGTTTGCTGATATTAGTATTATTTAGAACCTATTTTGAGAATTCTCCAATGTGGTTGAATTGAATTATAGCCATTACGCTCATCCCAGGAACTCTGGTGGTATAGTGGTTAAAGCATTTGGCTGCTAATCAAAAGGTTAGTGTTTCAAACCCCCCAGCCTCTCCATGGAAGACAGGTGGGGCAGTCTGCTTCTGTAAAGATTTATGGACTTGGAAACACAGTGGGGGTGACTATGAGTTGGAATTGACTCGATTGCAGTGAGTTTGGTTTTGAGTTTATACTTATCTAATTCTCAGTTATATCTGTAATGTTTTCATCATTTTTGGGGTGAGGTTCAGGCAAAGTAGTTCATTTGGGGTATAAAATTATGGGAATTAACTCAGAATTTTAGAGCTCAAGCCTTGCTTAGTCTAATGAGTTGGATTATCTCTTAATGTAATAATGTTTGTTTTTCTTAAAAAGGCATTTTAAATTGCAAAAGTTTATACTCCACTTTATATGGCCTTGGAATAAAAGTTCAAATGAGAGAACACTTAAGGATGCCCAAGTGGAAATTATCCACAATAGTTGATAAATCAATTCCCCCCTCATACCCAGATTTTTACAGCTTCCATCCAAGTTCAGGTCTATATGATCAGAAAAATTGCCAAATATTCTAGGATGCTTTCCCCACGTCTAGACTCTCCTTGTTTCAATCTCTTTACTACGCAACAGTATGATTACTCTTCTTTAATCACTGTTTTTATCATGTGCCTTTCTCAAGGGTCTTTATCAAATCATATTGATTACTTTGGAAGTCAGAGCCATCCATAAACTTGCCCTTCTATCTAATTAAGAAAAGATTATATGCGTACATATACGTATTTCCCTGCTAAGACCCTTAGAAGACTAAACAAACTACAGTCATGTGGTGCATAACATCCATTCAGACAACATCTGACTACGTATAGGTCCACAGCCCCAGCCCCCAGAAAGCCTATTATATAAAAATTTGGACTATACAGTGTTCAGAATAACAAACGGGAGCTACTTTGTGATGCACATCACTATATTATCATTATTACTATATTATTATGTTAAAGATATTTTAGTGTATCTGGAAGTGTTTCTTTTTTTTATGCATAGAAAGGTATATTATGTGCTATATACTAAGACAAACATTTGACTGACATTAGATACAAACCGTACATAACTGCTCCAATTTATATAAAAATTCAACTTAAAGATAGATTTAGGAATGGAACTTGTTCATAATCTGAGGACTGCTTGTATAAAATACCATGTTCATACGACATCCAAATCATAAAAGATCTATTTCACAGAACGTATTGTGGACATTAAGCAATGCATGACTGTAATTGACTGTTCACATATGATATACTCATTATTCCCTTTGTCTACTTGCTGTATCCTAAGTCTATCTCCAATAAACCTCTCGATTTTCTTTCAAAACCATTTTAAAACAATCTTTCCTGTTTGATAACTCTGTATTTAGGTACTCAGTTTATGCTACAACATTTACACTGTCTATAAGACACTTAGTAAATTGGTGTGTGTGTGTGTGTTAGGCATTGTGGTTTGATCATACCCGTTGTGATCAGGAAATGTGTGTTCTATACCCTTCTCTGATCTTCAACATACACAGACACATGGGCATAGTGCTGTATGGGATGTTGTTCTTGTTGTTGTTATGTGCTGTCGAGTCGGACCTGATTCATAGCGACCCCTCCTGGGGTTTCTGAGGCAGTATCACTATGGAAGTAGATTGCCCATCTTCCTTTCAAGGAGTGGCTGGTGGGTTTGAACTGCCAGCCTTCTGGTTAGCAGTCAAGTGCCTTAAGCACTAAGCTACCAGACCTGTATGGGATAGTTCCCTGCAAAATGCTGGTGACTTCTTGAGTAACTGAGGTTGTTTTCCATACTTTTTAGCCTTACAAAATCTTACACGGAAATATTAACATAACTTCTTGTTGAATTTGGAAGTCCTGCAAATCTACCTGCTTAATTACCCTCTGCTCTCTCTTTTCATCACTGTAGCAGTCTGTCAATTTATAAATTACTAAAATCTAAAAGAAAAAGAAGAAAAAATGGGTCATTCAGAGTCATATATTAAACTAATAACTAAATCATGATTACAACTTGGTATGCTCTACCTCTCCTTCTGGTATTTTCTACCAGGTCATTGGTGTTTCTGAACTGATCTGAATATGGAACAGGAATCTGAGAACTGGCTAGTTCATGACAAGGTGGCCAGGGTTGCCTCAGGTTCTTGGTCTGAACGTGGCATTTTCTCCTCTCTTTTTCCTTCCTTCCCTTTTCCCCAGATGGACTTGGGCATTCCAGCAATGACCAAGTGCTGCAACCAGCTGGACGTCTGCTATGACACATGTGGTGCCAACAAATATCGCTGTGATGCAAAATTCCGATGGTGTCTCCACTCTATCTGCTCTGACCTTAAGCGGAGTCTGGGCTTTGTCTCCAAAGTGGAAGGTAGGTATTTTCAGGGCATTTACTTTGAGCAGGGAGCTTTGTTCCTGTTTCCACACAGAGTTGTAACCTGAGTCCCTTTGCTCGAGGACACCATCAGAGCCTACTGGACTTCTGCAGGGAACACTGTGACCAGTGCAAGGAAGGCTGAAGGGAGCTTCCGGGCAGCGCTTTGCGAAAGTTCTTGCTGTCCTGCCCAGGAGCTGCTGGCACCACTCCTGAAGGAAAGAGCCCCACCAAAGCCCTCCCAGAGAAATCAAAATCTATCCTTTAAGACTGGAGAAAGAGTCGTCCAGCTGGCTCTGGTTATCTATTTCACTGTCAAGTAATTTTTCATATTAGAAGTTGTGCTGCATTAGACTTCTTGGTTTGCTTTTTTTCCCCCTTATTTGATTCTCAGTCGGAGTAAGGATTCAGGAAATGTTCTTTTTGTGTGTAAATGTCAACATACTTGTGGATGATTAGTTTTAAACAACTGCTTAGTTATCCAATTTCCAGCACTGATTCTCTAATTTCTTTTTCCCAACTCATCTTAGGAAGCCAGAACATTACATCTAGCTACTACCATTATATAATTTGAGAAGGTAAAGACTGAAATTCAGGCTTGTAAAAAGATGGCCCCATGCCACAGGAAGTCCACAGCAGAAAGAATCTTGGATCTTGTTCATAGATCAATGCCTAGATTGTAGGCCTAAAGTGAATGTGTAAGGGCTTGAACATATGAATAATTAATTAGACCCTGTGAAAGGCAGTATCAGTATCTGGACCTATAAAGGGTGAAAAAGTACCTGCTGCTAATCTAGGGTCAGGTCAAGTTACTTCTTCCAAGCAAGAATGTCCTATTGATTCTTTCCCCAAAATATCTCTAGGATAGTCCCATTTGCCTGGTTACTGTAAATTAATCCCTTCTCTGGGTCCTATCCAATCTATTTCCCCCATAGGGACTGGATATATTTTTATGCCACACACATCAAATCATCTCCAACCCTTGCTTAAAGTCCTTCAATAGATTCCTCTTCCTTAAGGATTAAATTCAAACTCCTTAGTGTGACATACAGCCCTAGCCCATCTCTCCAGCATCATCTTATTACTCTTGATTCCCTTCATAACTCCTGTCCTTCCAAACTACTTGGGTTGGTGACCCATACCTTTCTGCCCCTGCATTCCCTTCTCTTGGAACACCCTCATCATTCTTTTGTTGTTCTTGTTAAAACAGATGAATTGAGATACAATTTGCATACTAATCAGTCCATCCATTTGAAGTGTATAGTTCAGTGGTTTTTAATAGGTTCATAGAGTTGTGTAAACAGCATCATAATCGATTTTAGAACATTTTCATTACCCCAAATTAAATTCCAGACCCATCAGCATTCACTGCCCATTCCCTTTTCCCTCTGGTTCCTGGTGACCACCACTCACTCTGCTCTCTGTCTCTATGGATTTGCCTATTCTGGACATTTCATATAAATGGTATCATACCATAGGCAATCTTTTGTGGCTGACTTCTTTAAATCAGGATCATATTTTCAAGGTTCGTCTATATATTGGTATTTCATTCCTTGTTTTCCTTTTGCAAGTGAGGATTTTTTTTTAATTGTGATATAATTCACATACCATCAAATACATCCTTTTAAAGTATGCAATTTGATGTTTTTCACTACATTCCCAGAGTCATGCAAGTACCACCACTATCTAATTCCAGAACATTTTCCTCATCCCAACATGAAACCCTGTGCCCATTAGCAGTCACTCCCCATTCCCCCTTGTCACCAGCCCTTGGCAACAAATAATCTACTTTCTGTCTCTAGATTTGCTTTTCTAGACATTTCACACCAATGGGATTATATAATACGTAACCTTTTATGTCAGGCTTCATTCATTTAGCCTAATATCTTCAAGATTCATCCATGTTATAGCATGCAGCAGTACTTAATTTTCCTGATCATATATTCTTTTTTAAATTGTTACACATGATAAATTAACCACATATTTTGTATATTTGCTTGGAAAGCTAGATATCTCATCTGAGGAGCCTTCCCTAATACCCCCAAAAGGCTAGAGGCCCTTTACATGGGCTCCTGTAACGCCTTGCATTTACTGTATCATATTGTAGTGTAACTATCTGTTTACCTGTCCACCTCTTTGCCAAACAGTGAGATCCTTGAGTTGGGGATGATGTCTTTTTTGTCTCTGTATCCCTGGTGTCTAACTAAATACCAATACACACAAACCCAATACACACAAATGTTTTTTCAGTGAATGAATTGTTGTTTATCCCAGACTTGAACAGGGGAAGCTATAGGGAACCTGGTAATGTTAATTGAGGGCGTATTCTACAAAAATGGTAGATTCTCCGTGGAGTGGGCATTGTGCTATAGGAGATTCTGATTGTTAACCACGATTTGACCACAAAAGGAGGCGCTCCAAAGTGTTTTCTGCTTTACTGGGTCAAATGGGAGCTTCTCCAAAAACATAAAGGTATGCTTTTTAAATTCTGTGTTTGGATTATTGCCTCTAGTTTGCTCTAGGTGTTATGTCATCCTTGAAAATACATTGCCTCTTCCACATTACAGGCATAGTCCTATGTATTAACCCTCATATTTCTCTTTATCTTTTTCAAGTAGCCTGTGATTCACTGGCTGATACTGTGTTCAATACTGTATGGACCTTGGGCTGCAGACCCTTTATGAACAGCCAACGGGCAGCCTGCATCTGTGCAGAGGATGAGAAAGAAGAGTTATGAGGAAGAGGTGACTCATTCCTGTTTTTGAGTGACATCACAGCTGTCAGTCTCGGAGATGGTAGTGGGGCAAATGTGTCTCCTCCTTTCTTCCACAGTCTGGATACCACAAAGCAGGAGAAAGGAAATATTGTCTATGGCTGACAAATGAGTCACATCCTTCCAGGAGAATTGGGAAAAAAAGACATGGAATGATTTGAAGTCTATTCTTCATTGACCACCAATCTCCCCAACAAAGACACATTTCCCTGGAAATTTGGTTCTGAGCTTAAAGCCTAGAACACAAGAAAACCCTGAGATTCCTGGACCTGATAATTATATTCATAAGTGAAATTTTGGGGAGCCCAGTAAGTGGGAGGCAATGACTCTCCTCTGGTCCACGTTTCAGTTGCCAGTAAGCATTTGACATTTAATAAAGTGTACTTTCTAGAAAATTTGACAAGAGATGAATTCCATTACCACCAATATGCTTCCATTGCACTTAGATAAGAACAGAAACAACCTGGTAAGCTCTGCCAATGGTAACAGGATTCCCACTGCTGCTGAAGGGATAATACAGGCGGGCAGGGTCAGAGACTTACCTGTTAAGATCAGTGGTGGTGAAGGTCAGATAGAGTCAGGTCTCTGAGGTTCCATTTCTTCCTCCAGTGACCAATCCTCCCTCTTGGCATTCCAAACTACTAAATGGTTTAAAAGTCATGCTAAGATCTGAGAAGCACTTGGTAAGAGCTATCAATGGAGATAGCTAGTCAAGTTCTCTCAAATCTGAGGGAAGTAAGAAACAAATGACCACTTCCTAAATTGCAGTTCTCCATCCTGATTGTAGATTAGAATCACCTGAAGAGTTTAAAAACAAAGACCAAAATGAGCCTCTAGGGGTGGTACCTGGTCTTTTATAAACATTTCCCAGGTGATCCTAATGCACTGTGAGGGCTGAGGACTGTTAATCTAGATCAGGTGTTAGCAAACTACAGCCCGTTAGCCAAATCTAACTCAGTGCCAGCGTTTTTGATTGGAACACAGCCATTCTCTTTCGTTTATGTATTGTCCATGGCTGCTCTCACACTACCATGGCAGAGCTAATATTTGCCATCTGATCCTTTACAGAAAAAGTTTAGATCATTTTTTGGATCTAGATTATTTTCTCCTTTCCCTTTCTTTTGTTAATTTCACAGCTTCTTTAAGAATTGTTCATTGTAGCCATTTTTAAAAAGAAGAAAAAAGAAAAAACTATTTTTCTGACCTTATGTAAAGCCATAAAATTACTTACCATGTTAAAATTGGATTTAACTGCAGACAAAATTTATCTTTGTAGTGTAATATTTATTTCAATAAAATTTATTAAGCACCTACAAAATAAAATATGATATAATTCTATTCCTTTTTCTTGTCATAGAATACCAAGTAAGAGGAAATATGGTGCCAAACTTTAATTCTGTTTACAGTTCAGTCATTTAAACACTTAAATGGATGTTAATAAATTTATTAACATTTATTAAGTGAACACATTTCACTTAAGGCAATGTAAAAACATCAAAATGTTGTTCAAAAGAAAAACGGATTTTTTTTTTTTTTAATTATACATTGGTATATCAATAAACTTCCAAATCCCCTAGAAGTATTCTGTATTTGAATTAAAATTTCTGGGTATGGTTATTATTTACATATTTAAAGGGTCATTGTATATTTCAGTTACAATTTGAAGCAATTATTTAATTTTTTAAAATGATTTCTTATTAAAAATCTTGTACTCAATTCTGATTTTTGTGGTCCTACTGCTTCATAAGGAGCTCTGGTAGCATAGTGGCTAAAGCACTTGACTGCTAACCAGAAGGCTGGCGGTTCAAACCCACCAGCCACTCCTCAGAAGGAAGGTTGGGCAATCCTACTTCCGTAGTGATACTGCCTTGGAAACCCAAGGAGGGGACGCTATGAGTCGGGGCCAACTCCACGGCACATAACAACAACAACAACACTGCTTCATATATACTAGGCGTTTTAATGTAGGGAAAAAAATGGGGAAGATGGGGTGAGTTTCTGAGTGGACAGCTTAGCTTTCAGGATGACAAAAATGAAGCCCCATCCAGGCCTCATCATTCAGCAGTACTATAACTTTTGCTAGCTGCATGGGCTAAACTCACATTATGAGGCTAACAGAAGGTTGATTTTCTAGGATGTTGACTGATGTTCTTAGAGGATATGGAGAGAAGTCCCAATGTTCTCAGACAAGGTGGACAGTAGTTCCAAGGAGGAGACCAGCCCTAGGGCTTGAGGTGTTGCGTTTTCACTAGTCCTCCCAGTCAATGACGATCGGGCCGCCCGTCAGCACCTGGTTCTGTAGACCAGCTGTATCCTCTCCTTCCATGTCCCGCCGCATTCTGCGGTGGCAGCCTTGTGCACAACGGGACTGCTCATCCAGCACTCCACAGACAAGAACCCGGCAGTGCAAAAATACTTCCTGAAGAGATGATAAGGATAACTAATAAAAACAACGTTTCCCACTTACTGAGTACTTCTTGTAAGCTACACATTATACTAAGATTTCAAACACCTTATCTCCTTTAATCTTACCAACAATCCTTTGAGGTTAATGTTAACAGTTATACACAATTTACAGATGAGAAAATGGGGGCTTAGAGAGGTTGAAAGACTTGCCCAAATTTACACACTTAGTGAAGTGGTAAAGTTGGGTCATATATGTGACTTTAACTTCTGCATTGTCCGGAACAGGAGAGACCTTTGTGAGGACAACATCTAATAATGCCAACATCTACATTCTTCACATTAAGTTCTGGAATTAACATTGGCTTCCATGTACTTCTATTGTAAAATGACAAGTCCTTTCTCCAAGTACCTTTCAATAAGTAACTGCCCAATGTTTACTGCCTCGTTGAGGAGGGAGACCAGGATGAGCCATCATTTTCAGCAATTGTTCTGGAATGGTGATGTAGGTGGAAATAACATGAACACATTTAAACTCAGTTTAGAAAAGAATGTGGCCTCAAACTTTCTTTTGCTTAAATATTTCAACTGTACTAATAAAACCCCAAGCCCTCTACCCTAACACAACTGTAGCCTTCTTTTAAACAGCCTCTCAGAACTTCTATCATGTGTAATCATGAAGTTTTTTGTTTATTTGTTTTGGCAGCACATTCAATATGCATGTAGAATTACCGGGTTTAATTTTATGACTTAACAGTTTTTTCTATATCTGCTTTGCCCCCATACTTATCACTTTGATGACTGCTTGCAATAAATTTATATATTGTTTGGGAGCATTCTTCCCTTCATAACAATGTTCTATAAGCACTTCTGAAAAACCTTAAAATCAATTATTTTTTGGAAAAACTTTCAGAATTGCAATTTTTAGAATAAACAATACAATTATTATTACCAGACAGCTTTCCAGAAAGAATACCAATTTATACTGCCACTATATACTTCACCCTATAACCTTGCAAGCATAGCAACTTATAATTTTTATAAATTTAATATACTTAAAATGGTGTCTTATAATTATTTTAAGTACTATTTTCATTGAACATTTTACTACTTGTCTTTTCCATAAATTTTCTGTCCATATCCTTTGCTGTATGTCCACTATACTGGCTTTTCAAACATACCTGCCCACAAAGATGTAAAATTATGATCATTTAGTGTTATCTTTGAATAAGCACAGTTATTTCACTGAGAGGACAGATAACTATGACATTAATGAGGTTGTTAAGTTTCTAGATGGCCAGTTTAACAGTGTTTTTCATAGAGGTAATACAGATCCCAAACTTGGGATCTTAGAATGTCAACACACTGAGGCACCAAGGAGGAAAGTTCAGGTCTATCAGCTACAAGGTCAAGGTATTCAGCTCACCTTGTGGTCTTTGCCCACAAACTTGAAGACAGGGACCTGGAAGTGCTTTGCTAGGTGATCCCGAGATGTGTACTGCTTTACTGAGTCATCTGACACACAGCTGAAAGTAGAACAGGGTAGCACGTCAGACCTGATGGTTTAAACAGATGTGGAAAAACAATCCAGTCCAACACGTTTGGCCCAAGGAGAAGTAAACTGGGTGGAGGAGGTTGGGTTGCACTCAAACTTTTTGAGAATGAAGGAAAAATGCAATTCTTTCCCTATGAAGGCCTCTTCAGACACAGCCCTGCTCATTAATACCTGTTATAACAATCATTCTCTGTAGCCACACACCAGACAGAAGGGCTTTCCATTAAGACAGTGTATTTAAGTTTTCAACAACAGCAACACCATTTATTTAAGATAGCTTTTCCTGAAAAAGCTGTATTTTCATTGTTGTATATTACAGATTCTGCCTTCACTTACTTCATTCTTTTTTTTAAAAAATACATTTTATTGAAATATAATTTATGTACAGTGAAATACACAAAACTAAAGTGAGTCAATACATTTTTTTTTTTTTTTTTTGCAGTGTTCCCTCCCCTCCCTTTCTACCCCTGGTAACTAACAAAAAAATTTCCTTCCATATATAAACCTTTCCTGGACATTTTACAATAATCACTTACTTCATTCTTAATTTAATAAGGATTTTCTTTACTAAAATTCAATACATATTTATTGGGCCTTAATATACACCTACCACTGCATGCAAGACAAAGATAATCAAACCATAATATTGACATTAAAGAATGCATAAATACTTAAGTTTCTTAGAGAATACCTGGTTCTATTGAGGAAAAGCCATTCACATCAAAATTGTTTGTTTGTCTTTTCCCAAATTTCATCCCAGGCTGTAGTTTGATAGGGTTAGGGGGTTTTAATCTCAAGTCTACTGCCTCAACTGCAACTTCTAGGTTCACCTCACAGTTAACTGGGGGAAAGACAAATGTTAGTGGTTCTTCATTCTGAGGCCAAAGTTTTAGATATGTATGAACTTTTTCTCCCAAGAGGCCAAGGATCACATTCGTATTATCTTTCCCATTCTGAATTCTGAAGGAATTTTTTATTCTGGGTGTAGTTTCCTTTTCATAGATAACTAATAGTTCCTATCCATCAGGCCAAGGAAAGGAGTGGGTCAGATATAAAAGCCTGTGAAAGTGGTTACTGGTTCCATATGCTTACAAACTACTTTGTATTTCATTTCTAACTGCTGTTTTGGTGCAGGTGAAAAATCCAATAAAATTGTTTAAAAATAAGGCATCTTGACTTCTATAGTACTACTCCTGCCTATTCTACTGAACTACACTGTACTGATTTCTGGTACTTCTTGTGTTTATTTACTCATTTTCATTTGCCTGGGGTGAAGTTACATTTATATCATTTTCTGATTATGTTCTTTATTACACATCTATTGCATCCCTAGTCTGTGCAGGACACTCTGCTAGGTGCCACAGAGGACACAGAAATTAACCATCATAGTTCTATGATGTTGAGAAATGTATACTCTGGAATCTATAATAATAGTAACGCATGATATTAAAATGATACTTTTCATGTAAATGCCTCAGCATTTTTAATTTATCTTTAGCTAGAAATAGTCTTCTTCTTATTTTTAAAGAGAAAATGAAGAAGAAAGACTCATTATGGGAGTCCCCATTAAAGAAAATAATCCAGGAAATACTCTTGCTCTTGATTCTGTGTTTGGGGTAATTAAACAAGGCTATTTTAATAAATTCCAAGTTCATGTAATAAAAGAAAGTAATCATGGTATAGTTAATACAAGGTAATTGATTATCCAAAATTTTCAATATTTCAGAATTCAACACATCTCTTTTCCTAGAAATTAACCTTTCTAATTATATTTTGCTTAAGCTAGTATTAAATCATTTTGCATTCTCAATGTGTACCCACTAAAGCTAGAGGGAAGTGAAACGGATGTGTTAAATAACGGAACCAACCTGATTTAAATTTAAGCTAGTATAATCAATGAATGAATGACTCGGAAGGAAGATGGGGCAATCTACTTCCATAGCGATACTGCCACGGAAACCCAAGGAGGGGTCGCTATGAGTCGGGTCCGACTCGACGGCACATAACAACAACAACAACAACAACATGATAAATGAATCATTAAAAAATGAATAATCAAATAATTTATAAATATAAGCCAAACTGTATCATATTTAGTTTAGGTCTCTGGACTAGCTCCCAAATTACTATTATTACAAATATCTCAATAATTTATTCAGGGTGACTGAATTGTACATGTGGAAACTGTTGAACTGGTGCATGTTTTGCTGTGCATATTCTCAACAACAAGAAAATAAATAAAATTTTGAAGGAAAAGGAAAGAAGTTGGATTACAGTGTAATGATCAATATAAAAGATATATATAAAGATATATATAAAATGCCTGAATTGTCAAATCTCTTTCATGAGATTATAAAACAATGAGCAAGATAAAACACTTCAAATAACCCTCCTATGACACTTCGGTGTCAAAACTGAAGTTAATAAGACTCACAGTTTACATCTGAGTAACAACCCAACATAAAAACAACACAATGCAGTGCAATCAAGTAGGATCCGACTCATAGCGGCGACTCCTTGGGTTTCCAAGGCGGTATCACTATGGAAGTAGATTGCCCAAACCTTCCTTCTGAGGAGTGGCTGGTGGGTTTGAACCGCCAGCCTTCTGGTTAGCAGTCAAATGCCTTAGGCACTACATCACCAGAGCTCCCGAGTAACAACCCAGGACACAAAAATGCTGGCACAAAATACATGACTGTGAAAACTGGGATAAGATGAAAGAACATCTATAGAATAATATCCAACTGACTGAGACAGCCGGACTCCTTCCTTTTGTATTTCAATGCTTTCAATAAAAGTACTTTATGGGTAAAATAATAATAATAACTTATTTGGAAAATATATAATGACCTTTATTATATGAAGGACTCCCTGAGTAGTGCAAACTGGTTAAGTGCTCAACTACTAGCCAAAAGGTTGGTGGTTCCCATCTACCCAGAGGCACATTGGAAGACAGCCTTGGCAATCTGCTTGTGGGAGGTCACAGCTGCGAAAATTCTGTGGGCTTCTGCACACGTGAGATGGCCGTGAGTCGGAATTGACCCAACGGCTATTATGTTAGGCATTGAGAAAGGAAAAGAAGGAAAGTTTCTAGTTCAGATCGGAAGCAATCAGGGAACGCTACGTGGAGAAAATAAACCAAATTGAATCTTGAAGGGTCAGGAATCAGACTGGAAGAGAAGGCAGGGAAAGAAGCCTTTAGGCAGAGGAAACCAGCTTGTGCAGAGTCAGGAATGTGCAGGGAACAACGGCAGGTTTGAGACCTGCCAGTGATTCCCTTTGGCAGAAGAGTGGCAGGAGCAGCAAGTGGAGAGGGCAGAGGGCTGAGGTGAAGGGGCCAGTGAGCTGAAAGTTTGAATTTACATCATTACTAGACACGTAGGGATGGGACTGTTGGCCTGTTCAGTAACCAGACCCATATTCCTATGTTTTTTGAGTTATTGCCTATGCTTTTTAATGATTTTAATTTCTTCTGTGGTATATATACACATGCATGCATATATATATATGGGTATATATGTACACACATATGTACATGTGTGTATATATACACATATAGACTCATGTATGTATATACACATATATGTGTGTATATACATATGTATGTATTTGCTGTGTTATATGTGTTAAGGGCTGGAAAATGAAATAGTACAGTTTCTTAAAACTGTCTAAAATACAAGTAAATAGTCATTTAAGTGAGAGTCTGATTAATGAATATATAAATAAATTTCACAGTTTTATTGAAACTGCAGGTTACATATCTTCCTATTCATTATTACAGAAAGTAAACATGAGGTGTTGTAGAAAACTTTTTGGGTGACAAAAATGTTCATTATTTTGAGTGAGAGTTTCATGGGCATATATGTCAAATCTTACCAAATCATACACTTCAAATATGTATGTTTTTTGTACGTGAATAGTATTCCAATAAAGCTATTTAAAAAAAAAGCCCAAATTCATTCTCCTTCAAATCCATACCCTAACCTACTTAGCATTAAGTGTGTGACTTAAGTCAATGAAAAAAGAAATAAACAAATGATGCTTTGATTTTTCATTATAAAACTTTCTGGAGATCACTTTAAGATGGCAAGAAACCCAAAGGGTCTGGCAGATCCCTAGGAGATCTATGACTGGCCCTCCGAGCAGCTCAGCATGGTGAACTTTCCATATTATGAAATGACCTAAGGAGACTAAAGGAAGTTGAGGTTAGACATAATCCTGCTGGTAAAGGGTTAAATTTACCAGCTCCAGGAAATAAAAGAATCCCGGAAAGGGTTTCAGCAGGGACAGGATTCTGCTTCCCTTTGGATGGATTACCTGGGGGCTCTGTGGGCTGAAGGTTTGAGAGCTGAGATTTAGGAGGGTGTGTTAGAAGGCAAAGGAGCCTTGGTGGGGCAGAGGTTAAGCTCTTGGCTGTTAACTGAAAGGTCGGCAGTTTGAACCCATCAGCTGCTCTGTGGGAGAAAGATGTGGCAGTCGGCTTCCATAAAGATTACGGCCTTAGAAACCCTATGGGCAGTTCTACTATGAGGCAGAATGATTTGAAGGCAATGGGTCTTTGGTTAGGAGCTATTTTTGCTGTCCAAGTGAGAAAGATATGAGGGTTGGATTTTAGGCTGTAGGAGTGGAATAGAGGGAATGAAGTTGGAGTATTGCTATTTTTTTAAAAAAATTTCTTTTTAAAGGTTCTTATGTACATCAAGGGTTAAAAATCTGTGTAAAAGAGGTTAACACCATCAGGTGAAGGCTGCTTTGAGGAGTACAAACAAAACAGAAACTTCAAAGAGCCTCTCAGGCCAACTAGCAAAGGGCAAGAACCTGAGACAACCTTGGGTTTCCAAAGCGGTATCACCACAGAAGTAGATTGCTCAGCCTTCCTTCTGAGGATTGGCTGGTGGGTTTGAACCAGCAGCCTTCTGGTTAGCAGTCAAACGCCCTGGACACTACACCCCCAGAGCTCCTTGAGGCACACTTAGGCCACTCTTACTAGACCACTTCCCCTTGGATTATGCTGCATTCCTTGACCCTGCCTGAGACTCTGTCTGTGGTGCAATGAACTACTACGGCTCTTCTAGCCATGGTCTTTGTGATTCCCACCACATGACCGCGTGGGACTATGCAGATATGAGGTGTTTGTTGCCCACCAAAGGATTTGGATAGCTTGCTAATAATCAAATAGACTACATGGTGCCTTTGTGGGGATGAGACCATGAAAATAAGGTCTATGTACCCTGAAATGGGGATTGGTCAGTTTTGCCACCTTGCTAGACCTAAAATGACTCATTCCAGAGGCAGAAAGGCGGATCTCACTGCCATCAAGACAAAAGAGGAGCCAAGAGTGGAGCACATCCTTAGACCTAAGATTCTGCACTGAGAAGGCAGAAAGACAGAAGCAGCAGAACCAACAGTGTCAAAAGACTGGTGTGAGACAGAGCAGTGGCTTCTCTGTCCACAGAGCAAGAAAGCTGAGTGCCTTTGGGCAGGAGGCTTGCTGGTGGAGTGGGGTGCCTCTCTGGGCACCAGCAGAGTTAAATGAGCTTTGTAACACTTGCCCACACAAGACAGAGAGCAAGCCAAGAGTCTGAGGGCCAAAGAGAGGCATGTCTATGGGCGTGATTGAAAATTGTATTCTGAGCATTCCTGAACCTTAACTGCAATTATTGCTTCCCTGATAAACCCGTAATTGTGAATATTGTCTATGAGTTCTATGTGGCCATTGCAATGAATATCAAACTCAGCTGAGAAGTAGAGAGTGCCATGGGAGGGAAGGTTGGTGTCAGAATTGGTAAAAAAAAAAAAAAGGTTGAAGGGTGATGACATGTCCAACTTCTGCTTCATAGGAATCAGTGTTGGGCTGCTGATGGAGGTTTTCTCTTCTCCTTGTCAAGTTAGAGGAGGTCAGAAGACGGTGTCACCACACACTTTTTGCACTGTCACACCTAACATTTAGAACAAGGAAGAAACTGATGAGATACCACTGTAAGTTCTGGGTTTGCGGGTAATTTTCCTTGGAATCTAAGAGGTAAATGTGAGAAATGCTAGGCTTCCAATGATACCTCAAAACTCCTACAGTTTCCATCCCAAGCATCCTTAAGAAATTTCATGGAAACCTTAATATTAAGAGAGTCTTCTGTGAACAATTGGTCCAACAAACTAGTGGACCATGCAAATCTCAGCCTATATGACCATGAGACTGGAGGAACTAGATGGTGCCCAGCTACCACTGTCAACCACTCAGAAAGGGATCAGTGCAGGAGATCCTGGATAGAGTGGGACAAAAATGTGGGACAAAACTCAGAATCATAAAAAAGACCAGGCTTGCTGGTCAGATGGAGCTTGGTGAACCCCCTAAGATTATGGCCCCTGGTTATCCTTCAGTCTGGAGTTGAATTCACTCCCATGGCCTCCAGCCAAACAATAGATAGACATATAGGTTGAACATTTATACTAGGTAGATACACTCCTTAGAACAATCAATCACGGGAGATCAGAAGGTCAGTAATTGCACCTGGAATTCAGGAGGCAAGAATGCATAGGAAAGAAGGACATGGGAAGGGAGCTCTTACATTGTGGGGACTGCAGCCCACGTCATGAAACAAAATGTGTATGAATTACTGTATGGAAAATGAATTTGCTCTGTATACTTTCACCCAAATAATAATAATAATAATGACAGCCTCCTTTGTATAACTCAACAAACAATAACAAAAGTTACTTCATCTTTTTTCTCCTATAATCTACCAAGTATTTCTTCTCTCACCTTCACTACCAAACTTCTCAAAAGAAGAGTCTATAATTGCTACTTCTATCTCCTCATTGCCTATACATGGTACTTCTAAACCATGTATAAGGAATCAGTCCCCATCTCATATTCATGTTGTATGGGGTTTCAGTGGTAGAATCCTTGCCTTCCATATGACAGACCTGGGTTTGATACCTGGCCAATGCATCTCACGTGCAGCCACCACCTGTCTGCCAGCGGAGGCTTGCATGTTGCTCTGATGCTAAACAGGTTTCAGCAGAACTTACAGACTAAAATGGACTAGGAGGAAAGGTGTGGGGATCAACTTCTGAAAACCAGCCAGCGCCGACCCTATAGATCACAATCATGTGGACAGCACAGGACTGAGCAGTGTCGCCATGAGTGTTGGGGAGCTGACTGGACAACAGCAACCCTCTCTCCGAGCAGGTTCATCAATCCTATAGTTTCAGCTATAAACAGGTGAGTCTCTGTTCTTTTTCCCTAGTCTTGACCTTGTTTCCTGGGTCTAACTGGTAAGGCATTTCCAAGGCGCACTGAACAAGTCTCCCTATGTATCCTGCCAGCATTTTAAATCAAACATTATTATTTCAAATGACCAAACTCAAAGTTTTTACCTCATCTGCTTTTCTACCTTTGTCCTTTCATCTTGGTTAATGGCAGCTAGTCAGTCACCCACGCCAGACATCTTGGAGTCATTTTTGACTCCTCCCTCCTTTACAGTTTTTACCTCCAAAATGTGAATAAATGGCTTCTGGCCCAATCATGAGCTTGCAAGAGTGCTGTTCAGGTTTAGTAAATGACTGTGCATACTTGGCAATGTGGAGGCTGGCTGTGGAGTGGGAAGAGTTTAGGAAGTGTAATTACCCATCTCGGATCAGGTAGTACTTCAGGATCTCATCAATCTTGGATGTGGGGGTGGCAAAGCAGCTCTCTACCAGGCTTTCCAAGCCGTTCACATGCACCAGGGGCTCAATACCAAAGTAGAGGGAGTCGCGAAGCTTGAGGGTCGGCAAGGTTTCCCGGTACGGCTCTTCAAACTCATTGTCTTTGAAGATTTCCAGAATGAAAGGGAAGATTCCATGGTTGCGGCTCATGATTTCAAGTGGGGGGTTTCGAAGGTTGGGGACATATCCTTCAGAAATGGTGTACAGGCGAGGAAACTCACAGGTCACTGGGATCAGCAGTTTGCTGGTTCGGATGATGATGTCACCGCTGCTTCCCGGGGTCTGCTTGGGTAGACCTGTCACGAGATTGCTAGCCACGATCTTGTCGTTCACCACCTGAACCAGGCCAGGGCAAGAAAAAGGAGAGGTTATGTGTTTATTTTCACAGTGGGAAGTCCCTGGATAGCACAAACAATGAATGTACTTGGGTGCTAACTGAAAGGTTGGAGGTTTGAGTGCTCCCCAGAGGTACCTCAGTGGAAAGACTTGGTTATCTCCTTCTGAACAAATCAGGCATCGTAAACCCTATGGAGCACAGGTCGACTCTGACACATGTGAGGTTGCGATGAGTCAGAACTGACGTGACAGGTTTTTGGGTTTTAACATTCTCCAAACTTTTGTTTACATCAAAACATATTAGAGGCTTGGTTGCCTAAGTCTGAAGCACCTTTTTCATTGCTTTTCCTCTTATTAGCAAGACAAGTTATAGATCACTTCCTGGTCAAGCTACACATTTTTTTTGGAATATTACTCATAAAATCTGACCTACAAAGAGCCAGCAAATTCAAAACACTGATATTTTAGAAAATGATAGCAGTTTGTGTTTTATCTTTTCAGGGATCTTATACCTGGTGGTCATGCTGCAGGGTGACCTTGTACCTGAACTCATCTACACTCAGACCTTCAGTTACTACATTTATGCAGGTGATTTTCAATTCTTTATCTCCAGCCTCATTAGGCTGCTCTCTGCACCAAAAAATCCCAACTCATTACAGGCATTTCTGTTTGATTGCCTGCAGTACAATCATGACCTGTCTAAAGTGGGACCACCTCCTCCAGAAATAGCTCCCCTGTTCTCACCAAGTCTAATTGTTATTGTTGTGTGCCATCCAGTTGATTCCAACTCATAGCAACCCTATAAGACAGAGTAGAATTATCCTATAGGCTTTCTAAGCTGCAGTCTTTACAGGAGCAGATCACCTGGTCTTGTCTCCCACAGAGCCACAGGTGGGTCCAAACAGCCTTTTGAACAGCAGAAGAATGCTTAACTATTGAGCCACAGGGCTCCTAAGTCTAATTAGCTCTGTTTTTCACTTAGTAGGATTCAATACATATTTGTTTAATCAAATGATTGCAATGGCCCCTGAATGATCTCTTGCATCTGGGTTCTCTTCTCGATCCGTCTTACTTACTTGTGATTAAACAATGACCGTCCCTGCTTAAAGGAGCTCTGGTGGTATAGTGATTAAGGCATCTGGCTGCTAACCAAAATGTTGGTGGTTTGAACCCACCAGCTACTCTGCAGAAGAAAGATGAGGCCGTCTGAGTCCATAAATATTTACAGCCTTGGAAACCCTATGAGGGGGTTGCTATGAGTTGGAATCGCTTCAATCACAGTGAATTTGTTTTTATTGGCCTCTGCTTCACTCCATTGCTATGGAATAGAGCCCAAACTTCTCACCCTAGCCAACAAAGTGGATCTTTGGAAGTATAGTCTATCCCCATCTACTTTTCCAGTTTCACCTTCTGGTATGAACTCCTTCCAATAAGGCAGAGTTGCCCATTTACTTCTGTACAGTCTCTGCATGATACAAACAATTGAATACACTCAGCTGCTTCCAAAAGGCTGGAGGTTTGAGTACACCCAGAGGTACTTTGGAAGAAAGTCCTGGTCAACCACTTCTGAAAAATCAGTCCTTATGGAGCATAGTTCTACCCTGACACACATGGAGTCAATATGAGTTGGAATCAACTCTATGACCCTGGTTTTAGTCCTGAAGTATTCCCATCTCAGAGACTCTGTTCATCTGTTTCCCAGTCTGGAATACCCTTTCTTTTCCTCTCTGCCTGTGTAAACCACACACAAATTTCAAGCCCAATTCAGGTCCTACTTTTCTTGATTGCACCAGTGTTTGTCTTGTTAATGGATTCCTATAGCACCTGTATCACTGTTTGGCCCTTATTTACATTTTACATGTGTTGCCATCTCACTACTACTTTGCAAATTCTTATAGGCAGGAGTCTGATCCCATAGACTCTCCAGCACAGGGCTGGACACAAGTTTTTGGATACAAGTATAACCTTTTACCTCGACCTGGTAAATTTCATTCACTACATCATAAATGATCATCTATATTATCGTTAAATATATTATTAAAACTTATTCAAGTAAAATAATTTTTCAGAGGGAACACAACCAGCCTTCTGGGTACATTGACACTGACGTACTCAGGTAAATGGCTGACTGTATCAGAAAGACTGGGCTATTTGAGACCAGGAACAAACAGAAAATTATCTTCATTCTCTGTCCTCACACCCAGGACCAATGCAACCAGAAGAAAACAAAACCAGTTGCCATCAGAGTTGACTAACCAGGGTGACACCATGTGTTATGCTTCATAGGCTTTTTATAGCCGTCACCTTTCAGAAGCAGATCACCAGGGCTATCTTCCAAGGTGTCTTTGGGGGGGGCTTCTGAACTTCCAGCTCTTCCATTAGTAGCTGCATGCATAACCTTTTGCACCACCCAAGACCACAGCAGATGCTCAGTAACCCATTGCCAAATGAATGGCATAAGATGTTTTTACCTCAGTTCTTTTGTGTGGGAATATTTCATCTATGACACAAGCCATACCACAAATCTCTGTCCAATACACCCCAAATAACTGGCTTTTGGTCATTCCCCAAGTGTCCTCCAGGGGGAACCTACATCAACTACTGTGCCACATGTCTTGAGGGAGAAGAGGATGTTGACATGGGTGCCATTGGATACTCCTCGGCAGGAAGTGTTGGCCAGGAAGAGTTCCAGGCCTCCAACCAGGTCCCGGGGGATGCTCACTTCAATGGTGTTGGACTTGCACAACACAGGGACTGCGACAAAAAGGGGCTGCTGTTAGAATCAAGAAACCCAGATGGGGAGAAAGGGTCAGGAAGGCTTCTTAGAGAAATTATTTCATCCTCATGAAACCTATGCTTTTTGTTCTATTCTCAAGGAAAGCTATAGGGCCCAAAACAAGTTAGTGAATAAAACCAGGACTTCTGTCTCCCAAGACTGTGGTCAAATAATGCTCCTCAAAATTATTGTTCCCTGAATTAGGAAATACTGTGTTCAGTTTTCAATTCAGCAAGCATTTCTTTCAAAGTTGTTGCCAGCATAATTCCATGAACTGAAACATTTGGAGGATTAACTTTTTGCACAAATGCAATTATTGGCAATACAGAAAAAGTAATGTTTTGACATAGGCTTAAGCTACATAACGGTACTGCTTTGACCTTATGTTATTATTGCCCCATAAAACAGAGGTAATAAAAACAGTGTTAGTGAACTTGGGGAAGGGTTCCAAATTGTCCTTGCATTGTTCAGCTAAGCTTTAACTCTGACTATAAATCCTGCTTTAATTTAATATAAAATGGATTGCTTTTTCTTAGTGTTACATGTTTACTTCTCCAGATGCTACAAATGCCCTAAAAGGAATACTTATGTGGACTGTCAGAGTCCAGTACGTGATGACATATCATAGCAAGGGTATAGTATAAAGAAATCAAAGCTAGATGCCAGATGAATGAATTGATGTTCTGGGTGGCAAGAACTAGATTTCCAAAAAATCATTCTCAGAGGATTATTGAAGATTCTATATTTAAGTGTAGGGAGAAGAATCCATTCCCTAGGGCTTTCTACTTAGTTTCCAAATCCAATTATCTGTTAGAAAAGAGAAGATATTGGTTACAGAACTGCATCAATGTCTTCTCTCATCAATCTGAGTATTAGTTATACACTGATAATATATATTAGAGAAAAATAACTGAATAAAAAGCAAAAGGCAATTAGCTTTTTGGTAATCATTTCTTAAAGGTCTTCTCTTTTGAATGATGGTAGAGTAAATATTCTGCTCAAAGAGCTGACATTGTAAAGGACAAGAACCCTGATATACTGTGGGGAGGAAGGGTAAAGCTGAGGGTGAGGGCATACTACCTTGGCAAGTGTGGTTGTCCTCAGACAGCACCAATCCCCGGGGACATTCGCACTGGTAGCCCTTCTCAGACACAAGGCAAGAATGGCTGCAGCCACCATTGTTATTGTGGCATCCCTCAATGTCTGTGGTAGAAACCAAAAGAAAAGTGAATCATCTCCCAGTCCTCTTCCTCAGGAATTCCAGGTCTTGGGATGATGCTTTCCATCAGTGATTATACGTGACTCATCTCAGTATTCTAGGGCCCAGTCCCAGTGATTAAGACATAAAGGCAATTCCAAAAAAAGTGTTTATTAAATGTTACATCCACAAAGAGCAATCTTACAACATCCACGGCTCTAGTTGTTCATAGCTTATCTATCTTCCTTCTTAAGGAAACAAAAAGATAATCCAGTTAGAAGAAGGCTCTCTGATGGGATTTGATGAGCATTAACTCATCAAAGCAATGCTTCTTGCTTGAGTTTTTTTTTTCCAGAGCCGGAGTGTGCAGTAGTTTTTAAAAATGTTTAACATGTAGTTCATATAAACAGATGTTGAAAGTAATTTCATTAATCAAATTCTTTACTGTAGGATTTTTAAAGTTTTAGAATGATAGAAATGTTGTCAAAGATTGCACAGAGAATTCCTGCATATTCTGCCCTGTTATGGAATATCCTGTTATTGATATCTTACAATGCTATGGTACATTTGTCACAACTAATCAGCCAAGACTGACAAAGCCCATATTTTATACAGATTTCCTTAATGTTTATTAAATGTCCTTCTTCTGTTCCAGGACCCCATCTAGAACACCCCATTACATTTAGTTGTCATGTCTCCTTAGACTCCTCTAGACTGTGATAATTTCTTAGACTTTCATTGTTTTGGATGACCTTGATGGCTTTGCGGTATACTGTTCAGGTGTTTTGTAGGATTCCCTCAATTTGGGTTTGTCTGATGTTTTTCTCATGGTTAGACAGGGGTTATGGGTTTTTGAGAGGAAGACCCAAAAGTCATTTCTTGACTTCTGTAACCTTTAATTCACCCCCATTTGAAACTTTATAAGGAACTCTGGTGGCTCTATGGCTAATGCATTGGGCCGCTAACCAAAATGTTGGTGATTTGAAGCCACTAGCCATTCCATAGGAGAAAGATGAGGCAGTCTGCTTCTGTAAAGATTTTACAGGCTTGGAAACCCTGTGGGAGTTGCTATGATTCAGAATTGACTTGATGGCAGAGGGTTTGGTTTGGTTTTGGATTTGAAAATTTATGAGGCTTTATTGATGTACAAGAGACTCAAATGCAGCACACTCTAAAAATGGGGCCTGGGACTTCCGGTAAGACGACGGAATAGGCAGACAAGCTGCACAGACCCTCTCCAACAAAGAAAAGACAAACCAATAGACACATATACAGAAAATAATACTGGAGCCCTGAGTTTTGAAAGAAAGGAAGTGGATTAAACACCAACTAGTAGAAGAACCTGAAAAAAAAAAAAAAAAAAAA